CCAGACCCGACGCTCTAATGGCGGAACTACACTGTTTCTCCACACCAAAAAAATCGATCGTCTTCGAAAGCATAGAGCAGAAAAAGGAAAAGATGTTGGTCCTTTCACGTCACCTTCGATGCACGGAATCGAGGGTGTTTGATTTAGCCGCGCATGATCTCCTATCACCGCCATTAGAGCGGCAATAATGGAGCTTTTTATACTGCCACAAGAGGACTCTGACTTTTGAAAAGGGTCTATTCCGAGTCAAGCTCCTAAAAACGAAGAAAAGAAGCAAAAAAGAATAACACCCAGCCTTTTGTTCGTTCACTACGAAAACAAAACGGTGTTTATATATCTCATCGCCTTACGTTTTAATCTGCTTGCGCCACGGTATTAGCGATGTGGGCGACCAAAAGCGTCGCTGCGGTCAGCTTTCCACGATTGGCCAAACCATGGGCATATGAGCATTGTCAGATTGTCAACTATGACGGTGTTAGTTTCGGATTGCGATGGCTTCTAGCTTCCACTGTGCTTTTTAAACACACCACCGAAATCGTCGTCGCACCTGATGGTAAGTAGCCAGGATAACAACTGGTGACGTCACGGCGAGGCAAATCCCTGTCGTCACGTCACGAATGGAAACCATAAGAGGGCGCCACCGAAACATCTCGGCGCTAATAGTCCCAGATAGCTTAAGAGACGCCTTGGCGTAGCCGGTAACGAGCATCTTGTTTTTGCGGTAGCACCGGACTTTGCGCATTCAAAATGTTTTTTCTGTCTATTTCCCCCTCTGTCTTATCACCGCTAAGCAGCCAATGATGTTGAGATATTAGCCAATGAGAACGCGCCAGAGGACCAGTCAGGAGGTAAGAAACGTGAACATCATATAAGCCACGCCCTAGCTTTTCTTAAGTTTCTAGTTACTACATGCAAAATGCGAGTCAGCAACATCGCCACACGTTCCCCTACATTTTTTTTAAACAAAATTACTGAAAGAAAGCTTGCAGCTGCGATCCTGCCGCCTCCTTTCCCCCCTTCTCTTTTAGTTTCACACGTGTACGGCTCACATCCTTTTGTGTTTAAACTCGGGGCCTTTTGACAGAATAATAGCTCTGCTTTCCTGGTTGTTCATGGAATGTCTATTTCGTTCTTTGCCAAGCGCGTCAGAACGTGTATCCTTATAAGCGTACCGTGCGCCGTTTATAACAAACGCGCAAGGACTAATTTGTTTTCCCCGCTTTCATTTATGATTTGAGTACTTGAGTAAAACAAGAAACACATATATCTTCTTCCCTAAGTAATACCCCATTCACACGATCAGGAAGGTACCTTTAGCTTAGGGACCTTTGAGGTCCCTAAGCTAAAGAAGAAAAGCTTTGAAGAACGTTTTGGGGGAACATATATACGCTATATATATATATATGTATATATATATATTGTATAACATATCTATAGTTTTATATGTCTATACTGCATTGTTGAGATCAGTTAACGTACATGCGCGTGTTCTTAGGAACAGTGCCTATCCGTGTTTCTGCAATGTAACCATATGCAAATGGCTGCTTGAACATGTGGTCTCTTGAAAGTAATTTCCTTCCCTGACGCGAGCTTCTTTTTGGTCGTAAAGAGAGGTCCGTCGAAATAATTTTCCATCTCCTCAATTGTATTCAACACGCTCGTCCCAAAACACAAACACGTTTGAAACTTTTAATGAAGAATATAATTAGACGTATGTATCGTAACGACTCGGGTAGTTAACGCACCGTTTGTGAACAAGGTCAGAGCGTTTGCTTTCCCGCATGAGCTCACGTACACTGCGCGGCATTGTTAGCGCGAACACGAAATCGGCGCTTTGCCGTATTTTACTCGTTTATTGGCGAGCACAAAAACGTATCGCTTAGGTTACTGTCCCAAATGTGCACTCTCCATCGTTTTTTTTTTTAAATATAATTTTGATGACTGTTTTTGGTTTTAGGAGGACAAAAGAAAGCCGGCAATTGTTTGTTCGCGCTGTGTAAACATGCTATCATCTACCACCGCACGTGGTCGATTAAACTATGTATGAACATATATCGGGGGAAAAAATTAGATAAAAATCGAGAGGTAATCGTTGATACGTGAAAAGGGCTACACACTATTTGCTTTAAAAAACGAAGGGGAAAAAAAGAGCTATATATGGATATTTACTTGAGGGAAATGGCAAATATATTTTAAGCAACGAATCATACTTGAAATGTCTCTGCTAGAAATTCCCTTGTGTGGCTCGCCTTTTGAAAATTTATTGGAACGATTCTCGCATGCTCCCTCCGATTTTTTATCTAAAGTTATCATCTGCCCCATCTTTTGTTTTACGGTTTGTTTTAGAAGTGTACGTTTTATGTGTGAAAACCAACTGAAAATCGCACATTTGGAACATGCAAAAACAATTCCAAACACTTTTTTTAGTAGTACAGAAATGACAAATCTGCTTTTATCCTTGGAATGGGGAGCGTGGTGCTAAGGGTAATAGAAATATAAGAATAACATAAAATCGTATATGGAATTTAGGGCAGTAAACACAACTCCCGTTGTGAAAAAAAAAAACTGTGCAGAACGATTATCGCACGTTCCGAGTTTCATACGGGTTTCGCTTTAAATATTGCACATGCATAACGATTGAGCTTCGGCAGAAAATATAGAAAATTAGAAAAGATAAGTGTTAAATACGACGTATCTGCCACAGTAATAAGCTGTAACGGTGACAAAAAAAAAAAGCAAAAAAACCTTCCACAAATATGCGATAAGGTAAGAGGGACATTGAAGACAGACAGACAAGGCAATTGTGCTGCACGTGCTCTGCAATTCGAAGTAAATATATTCCTGACGAAGGACCTGGCTCAGGTCAAAAAGTCGAAGAAAGTCCTCCTTGTTTGTTTCCCACGTTACCCTGCATCTCTCTCTCTCTCTCTCCCTCTCTACACACACACACACACACACACACACACACACATATATATATATATATATATAACTGGGAAGAAAAAAACCCTTGGTGAAAACAGCAACAACGGACGATTTATTCTTCGACGTTTCGGCCGGAGTCCGGCCTTCGTCTTCCTGACGAAGGCCGGATATATACATATGCATTCGGTAGAGCGTATTGTACGTCCCGAATTTTCGAAAGAACTTCCAGTCATTGAGATACATCTTAGACCGTGTTTCGTTTATATATTTCTTCTAATAATTGATATAAGAAGTAATTCAAATTTCTTTTCATTTTCTTGCAGTGGGTTCCTACTATACGAGCGAAGAGATGAAAGCAATCTCAGGCTACACCTTTATGTACACCTTAAATACACCAAGAAACTGATAACATGCAAGTTTGTGAAGTACCAGGCAGGAAGAATGCATTTGCATCAGAAGCTCTAATTTAAGGTAGGTAACATGACTCAGGGAAGCTAGAACACGCCAATGTGAGGCGCAACGGAATTAATCTCTGCATAGGCTAAGTTTCTGCGTGGGTACACCTGAGAAAAGTGGTGGAACATTCCTATCTTTAGGCATAATTTAGAGCGTACTTTATTTGTTTCCTTTAATAACTTCGAGTTTGAGATTTTTTGACGCGTGCTTGAGTCATTGTCACGTTGTCCGGGGCACGTCCACGTCTTCTAACTTTATTAAAATGCTGCTCCTAAAAAAAAAGAAGAGAAATCCGCATAATTTGCAACTTTTTAAATGACTTTCCCACTGATGATTAATTCAAGCGGTTTACATGTATAACCATACATCATTTATACAATCAAAGGTTTCTCTTTCCACTTTAGCAGAGCGATTTCCGAAGAGGACGAATCCTCCTTTCCAGCGTTCGCTCTTTCAAGGTAGAAAGAGGTGGGTGGAGCTTCCCCCAAAAAGTTCAAACATACCCCTCTCGTCATGCTGAACATTAGAGATGGTGCTGGTCACCGATCTAAATACGGAAAAAGAATTTTAAATATACTCTTCCGTGTCTACTCAAGGTTTTTACTAGTCTATATGTGTGCATGCAATTTGTCATCATTAATCATCTACGAATTTTATTTGCAAATAATTAATGCGTGTATTTGATTGAACTCTAAATTGTGTCAAACCACATTTTTTTTCCGTTGTATTCCTATATTATAATTAATATTTCATTGAATTCGTATATCTAACCAAAAATGCACTTTTTTATTATTTTTCTTCTAGCTACAATTTGTGTGCTTATGGGCCTGGGGCCCCGTCAAGCTCTGTTTTGCAGCTTTTTGTTTTCCGGCCTCTTCTTTTATACATTAATGACAAAATAAATTTATTGCATTGTATTGTATATGTAGCTTTACAACTTCAAAGAGAGTAATTAAGGGCTCCATAATGGACATTGCTATTCTTCGGAGAAGCTGGCACGATTTCCACATGCACAGAAACTGATCGAATGCAAGGCCCAAGTTTACTAAGCCAGTTTGAAAGGTGCAGTTTAAAGTAATAAAACCAACCGAGTCATGAACGAGAGAGCGTAGAAAAAGCAAGGAGTTAAAAGGTATCTACTTCGGTATAAACTATTCTGTGCTGTGCTGTGAGGGATAGCAATGTTTAAATGATGTCAAAGCTATCTGCACGAGCACGTGGCTTTGTTTGGCGTCACCTTGGCACGGAAAAGCGTGCGAATAACAAAAAATAAGCCACTTACTTTTTTTAGCATTGCGAGGGTGCAGTACTGTGAAATCTACACTGTCCTTAACAACGTAGTAGAAAATAGTTGACGCCGAGCTTAGTGACAGTGAAAATGAGCATCTATTAGAAACTTCGCCACCCACGAGGTGGTAGTAAAATCTTTACAAATACAAAGAAACAGCAGACTTCGAACTTTTCTCAATTCGCGAAAGACCGAACTTAACACCATTTGTTTTATTTTATTTCATCACTGCCACCAGTACGTGTTCCTTGAAAACGACAAGGAAGACTGAAAGAAGACAGCTTCGCACGTGCATCACATACACCATTGAAGGAACCAAGGCAAAGCCAAAATGGAACCCGTTGGCTGCAGAACGTTCCTCTTTGCCTTGTGTGTTGTGATTCGCACACTAGTTGTGGTTTCCGCCGCCGCTCCCAGTTTCCCGCAAACAGACGCCTGCCGGTTCCGGTGTCCCGGTTCGACGAAACCGGTGCCGCGCCCGGCTCACCGTAGCTCGGCCAACGGCTGCGGAACGGGAGACTTCAATATACCGGCATCGGCGCTGCCCCACCCGGAGTTCGAGACGTGCTGCAACCGACACGACATCTGCTACGACACGTGCGGCGAGAACAGGACCTTGTGTGACGAAATCTTTGAAAAGTGCCTGACCGGCGTCTGTCAGACGCGTGCAAGCAGTAAGGACAACTGTCTGGCTACGTCGAGGCTCTTCACAACGATGACTGTGAAGCACGGTTGCGATCCCTTCTTGAAATCGCAGAAGAAGGCCTGCGTCTGCAGGGCAACCGACGAACTGTGATGTGTCTTTCTGGATCTGTGTTTTCTTTAACGTTTGCGGCATTTGGATGGTGCACGTCCGACAGGAGAGTAGGACCTACTGGTTTCCTGAACAATCCTGTGATTTCGTGTTTCGTAGTTGCGCTTTTTGGGATAGAGAAAACTAAGAGGACATGAGTGACATCACCTGGGACCAATTCATGCTGATTGACCCAACTAGTGAGTAGTTCAGACTGCGCGTTCTGATAAGGATTGAACTAAGGACAGTATGCGCAATGACTTGTGGCTGTTTCTTTGTAATATCTGTGCAAGAAGACTTGGATATCGTCTGTCTTGCATACCTTTCAGTGTATGGTTGATGCCTTCATGGCACGAAAGGCTAGGCAGAAGAATTGTCTCGCAAAATTCACACTGTTGACGACCGTGACTATAGGGAAACTGGACTGCGGTTCGCGCTTAAACAACCCACGGAAGACATTTTATTTTAGTGTCATACCCAGAATTTGAAGTGTCATACCCAGATGTTCTGTTGCTTTTTTTAATAATAGATAACTATCGTAATTATGCCCTGTTTTATTCTGATAAAGGAGCGAAGCCAAAGCCACGAGGTCTCAAAGCTCCCAAGATTCACTCTCCAAAAAAAAAAAAAAAAAAAAAACTATCAGGAGTTTTTTTTTTATTTTTGTTACTGCAATATTTATTGCTGCTGTATCTGCTACTAGCACGAGCATGCTGCCTTGACCAACGTAGAGCCACGTTATTCTCAGAGTAGTGACACTCCTTTTCTCAATTTTCTTGTGGGCGCCGGCATTTAGGTGCTTTGTACAGAGCGGACGCAATCAGCGAACGCTACGATTCGAAAATTTGACTTGTGGAGCTTTAGCGAATTATTGGAACATTTCTCGAGGACGTAGAAACATATCCTGCGATTTCAAATGAAGGTTCAGATAACTGGCAACAATTATTTTACGCATCAAGACGGCCGATGATTGCTTTGAAGGTTAGCTTAATTAGTTACTTTAGGTAAAACTTTTTATACCCCTGTCAGACGGGCACGTTAAATGACATTTAAGCAAAATTCCATGGCAGTTCGGCCAGTCCGCGTGTTTGAAACGCCACGCCGCGTGTGCACGCGCCGCGTGTGCACGCGCCACGTGCAGAACCAGGATCACGAGCTGATTCGCCGAGCGGTAAATGACATTCGATCAAAATGACATTTACTTTCCCGTCTGACAGGGGTATTAGATATTTATTAAAAGCGAGAAGGCCTTTTGATCACAGAATTCGGATTAAAACCTGGCAACAACGTTAGCGAAAATGTCTTAAAAACGAAAAAAAAAACGCCATTTTTTTAAGCGCTTTTAATAAGCATAGTCGAACTACAGCTCCTTGGACCGTCATGTTACAATATAGTGTAATAATCAACATTCGAACATGTCATCATCTTAAACTATATCCTTCAATAATAAGATCTGCTTTTTGTCATAGTAATTAGCCCGTGGAAATGAGCTTGTAACTCATCAATAATGTTCAACGACCTTACCCTAAAACACTTTTTATAACTTCTGAATAAAAGAAAAAAAATCAATTAGACGCATATAGTATTCATCAGGAAATAGACGCACCGTTTGTGAACAAGGTCCGTGCGTGTCTGGACGTCCGCTCAGAGCACACGTACAGTCAATCTTCGGGTCCTTTCGTAAGAAACTTATAGAATAAGAAAGAAATTCCATATAGTGATTGACAGTTCAAGAAACGCAGAGGGTGGCTCATGTTTACGCTACTAGCTTTGCTACTTGTTCCTGGCTTTGCGCTTGGTTCTTCAGTGTCATATTCGGCTGATGCCTCAACGTCATTGGCTGTGGAATGACAATATGATTCTCAGAGATTCGCAACGACCCGCGTTCCTTGGAAAAACTCTGAAAAAATTATTGAAGCAAAAAAAAAAAAAAAGGAGTTAGAGGTGACTTTTGGCGTATTTTTATTTCGTGAATTTGAATATCACGTTTGTTTTCTCCGAAGATGCAACTAGACGCCAGAAAATACGGAAAACATCCGACCAGTCGTGACGTCATGCCGAGAACTTTCGGCCAATAGACCGATCATACCAGGCAGTTTGGTTACGCCACCGCTGCCGCAATGCATCGGGGGAACTTTAGTTTTTCTGCACGTGCGACAACCCCGTTGGAACTCTGCGCGTTTGGATCACGAGGCGGCACGAACCCTCGATCGCATGCAAGGCCGTCTGTCTCCTGCGAACTAAAGTTATGGCGCCATCGCGCATGCGCCGCACGATTAGTGAGATCGGGCTTTTGCGAGCTTGCCAGGTATATTCCCCACAAACTGACCCCAATCGTAGCAACTTCTTTACTAACTTTTTTTTTTTTATATATAATAGCGAGGGTACGCGTGCATAGCTTCGATAGGCGCTGAAGATGCGCGACAGCGGAGATTTGGAAAACTCTTCAAAGTACCGCTTCAGCGGTACTTTGAAAATCCTTTTCTGTGCACTAAAAAAAAAAAAAAAATATTTCGATATTTGTGATTCCGGAGGCCGAATGAAGACGATTCAAATGTTTCTTCTTAACTGCAGTACAGGTTCAATCTCCCTTTAAACGAACAGTGACTATAGAGAAAACGATTCTTCGCAAAAATTACGTCTGTACGTCCTCGTACGAGGACGTTATTTCTGCCCAGCTGCAGGCTCCTGGGGGGGTCTGTGCTTCGCAGTCGGACGTGACGTTGGCGTACCGTTTGTACAAGCAATGCTACCCATCTCGGAAAGCTGCAACAAAGCACGTTCCTTATTCCCTCTGACCTTTGGAACGAGCTTTCGTTACAAGCCTACTGTTGGTTAACACGGAATGCTTTACAGTTATGTTTCCGAGAACGTAAAGTATTCATTCGCATACATTACCGTCGTGGGTGTTTAAGCATACCGTATTCTACTTTCGTCTGTTGGGAAGAAAAAAACAAAACAAAAACAATAACAATAACAACAGAAAATGTAACCTCAGAATTTTGCAAATCCACTACTCCGAAAATCAGTTCTAAACGACGGCTGAAAGTTCATTTCGGCGTGCTTGGAATACAAAAATGCCCACGCAAGCTTTAATGAACATTTATATTCGTAAGAAAATAAAATAAAATAAACGATCATACCTACTTCGTCCCTCAGACAAAAACAAAACAACATAAACAAGCAAATGAGTTTCTACTTGCGCGCTATTCTCCTCCATTGCAAAACGTATTCATTGCAGCAGTAGTATTACTCCGTCCCCCTTAAAAAAATTATGTTTCGTGGAGATTAACCTTTTGTATCTCCACTTTATGCACCCCTGCATACAAATTGTCTAGCCAGTCACGATCGCCGCTGAGGAAGGTCTTAAACAAAATGAGATTATGCATATTTTAGTGTTGCCGCTAATCTAAGGTTTTCTGAATCAAACTCATGATCTGTGAACCTGCCGTGCTAGTTGGAAGGGCAAACTTAGCAAAGCTGCTAAAACGAAGTGAGAAAAATGACCACCTAGCAGGGTCGAAAATAAAAATCGAGACAGTTTAAATTGGGATTTGAATCAGACCAGTTTTACTATAATGTTTTAAATAAAACCATTTCCGCGGAAGTAACTTCGAAAAAAAAAGCTTTATTTACCGCTTGTCTAGGTCATTAGATTGAATTAAATTAAATTGAATTGAATTTATTTCCGCCACATTGTGCCGAGGACACCGGACAAAAAGCCTCCATGAGGAGACTTGACAGGGTCCGGTGCCCTTGTAGGTGCAGGACATCGTTTATAAATAAAAGCAAAAGGGCACAAGAATATCTCTCTAAACAAAGTAAGCATACAGTGATTTTTTTTGTTAAACAATGAATATCAACACCATCTGTAATGAATCTGTTCAGCAGTTTAGGTAGGTTATGAACAAGGAATTGTAATTCATAATTGGTACGAAAATGAGGACCATTCCAGAACTCTTTACGAGGGATATTGATGACGAATTCGCGTTTGGTTAGATTTGATAGAACGGATAAAAAAGCAATGAACTCTGCAGATGAGAATGAATACGAAGACAACAAACGATAGTCATAAACATAAGAGACTTTCATAAAATTATGGTTTGAAAACAATGGTTCGGCATGAGTATCATAGGGAACATTCGCAATAAAACTTAGCGTCTTTTTTTGTAGAATCATCAGTCTACTGATATTTATTTTAGTGGTGGTGCCCCATACCAGGTGGCAATAATTAATTTGAGAACTAAACAAAGCATGATAAACTTGAGTTTTAACATTCGTAGGCAATAGAGACCGACAGCGACCGATGATACCAACCACTTTTGCCAGTTTGTGCGCTAAATATTCTATGTGACACCTAGCGTTTTATGATAGCTTACTATTTCAATCTGACTGCTACCAATGGTTAGAGCATAACTAGTATTAATGAGTTTATTTACAGGTCTGAAAACAACAGCCTTTGATTTGACAGCTTTTACCTTCAGACCGTTTTTCTTTGACCATAAAAAAAAACAAAAAAACTTCTCCAGCACATTGTTTCCGTTTGTTAAAAGTTCATCAATATCCGTCGCAGACAGGAAAATACCAGTTTCGTCGGCATACATAATAAAACGTGATTTATGCAAATATTCACTATGTCATTGATATGAACATTGAACAATAGCGGGCCAAGTATACTGCCTTGCGGCACACCAGATTTCAGTAGTTGCAAAGAAGATACATAATTATTCACTGAGACACATTGCTGACGCTTTGCTAGGTATGAATGAACAAGGGCTGGAGAGGTGCCCCGTACACCGTAAGACGAGAGCTTATCAAGGAGCGTTGTATGATTATGACAGTCGAATGCTTTACTAAAATCAATAAAAAGATGCTTTCTATGGGCATTTGTTTTGCACTGAAATAAAAGAAAAATCCTTAAGCAAGAAGGGTTTATATTAGGCTAAGCACAAAAAACAAAACAAAAAAACATTGCTCTGTTAAGAAAATCGGATCATTTGAGTTTTTTTTTCTACCTTTTCGCAACGGTTCGCATAC